TCATATCAGCACCATTATCATCTGTATGAACCTTGGCCAATTCCAACAACCCAGCATCCAAAGCATCACGTATCCAATGATACCTAACATCAATATGCTTGGACCTAGAATGAAAAGTTGAATTCTTACCAAGATGAATTGCACCTTGACTATCACAAAATAGCAAGTATTTGTCCTGCATAAAACCAAGCTCCTGCAATAATTTCTTCAACCAAATCAACTCCTTGCATGCTTCCGTAATGGAAATAAACTCTGCCTCGGTAGTGGACAATGCAACACATCTCTGCAATCTGGATTGCCATGCCACGGCTCCCCCTGCAAACTTAATCAAGTAGCCTGAAGTAGACTATCTGGAATCAATGTCTTCAGCCATATCAGAATCAGTATAGCCCACAAGAGTAGGTATATCACCTCCAAAGCAAAGCCTCAAACTGGTAGTACCATGAAGATACCTCAAAATCCATTTCACAGCATTCCAATGCTCTCTACCTGGATTAGACAGGAATCTACCGACTGTACCAACAGCATGTGCAATATCAGGTCTTGTACACACCATTGCATACATCAAACTCCCCACAACATATGCATAAGGAACTCGTTGCATATCTAATTTTTCAGCTTCATTGGAAGGACTCTGATTAACACTCAATTTGAAATGAGCAGCAAGAGGAGTACTTACAGCCTTAGCATTTTCCATCTGGAACCTCTGAAGCACCCTTTTAACATAGTGTTCCTGTGACAGCCAAAGTTTCTTCTTGTTCCTGTCACGCATGATTCTTATACCAAGAATCTGATTATCAGCTCCCATGTCTTTCATGGTAAATGACTCGCCCAATTGCTTCTTCAACCTGTCAATCATGGAAATATTTTTCCCAACAATAAGCATGTCATCAACATACAATAACAGGATAATGAAATTATCATCAGTAAACTTTTTAATAAAGACATAGTGATCAGAAGTAGTCTTCTTGTAGCCTTGCTCACACATAACAGACTCAAACTTCTTGTACCACTGACGCGGGGCTTGCTTCAAGCCATATAGGCTCTTTCTCAATCTGCACACATAGTCTTCCTTGCCTTTAACAAGAAAACCATCAGGTTGCTTCATGTAAATATCTTCCTCCAAATCACCATGAAGGAAAGCAGTTTTTACATCCATTTGCTCTACCTCTAGATCAAGATTAGCAGCCAAACCCAACATGATTCTTATGGATGACATCTTCACCATAGGAGAAAAAATCTCATTGAAATCAACACCCTTTATTTGTCTGAAACCATTCGCCACCAATCTGGCTTTATATCTTGGAGATGTAGAATTGCTTTCTTGCTTTACCCTGTAAATCCACCTATTTTCCAAAGCCTTCTTGCCCTTAGGCAATTTCACCAAATCAAAAGTGTGATTATCATGAAAAGACTTCATTTCATCTTGCATAGCCTCCAATCACTTCTTCTTTTCATCACTCTCCATGGCCTCATTAAAACACTCAGGTTCTCCTTCATCTGTTAAGGTAACATAGTCATCAGAAGGATACCTGGTAGATGGTTTCCTCTGCCTATTAGACCTCCAAAGTTGAACTTGAGGTGGTTCAGGAGCATCACCAAGATCTTCATCTTGTGACATCTCATGTTCCTCTTCAGCATCATCAACAGGAATATCTACATCATCTCCAAGCTGCTGGTCACCAACATCATCATGTTACTCATCATTCTGAACATTATTTTCAGCAGTATCCAGATCATGTACAGGCCTCCGAACTGGATCAACATCAGACAAACTATTATCAATCTTTGGTGTAGTCTTCTCCATCTTATCAATGTCTTCAATGGTTTGGTCTTCCATGAACTTCACATCACGGCTTCTAACAGCTTTCTTCCCAACTGGATCATATAGCTTGTAGCCAAATTCATCCCGACCATACCCGATAAAAATACACTGTCTTGTCTTTGCATCCAACTTGGATCTCTCATCCTTTGGAACATGAACATATGCTTTGCAACCGAAGACACGCAAATGATCATATTTGACATTCTTGCCAAACCAAATTTTGTCTGGCACCTCTGCATTCAAAGCAACCGCAGGACTCATATTAATAACATGCACTGCCGTGTACAATGCTTCACCCCAGAAATGTTTAGGCAACTTTGCTTCAGAAAGCATACACCTAACTCTTTCAATCAAAGTCCTATTCATCCTCTCCGCTAAACCATTCAGCTAAGGAGTTTTAGGAGGAGTCTTTTCATGTCTGATACCGTGCTGCTTGCAATAAACATCAAATGGTCCACAATACTCATCACCATTGTCAGTACGAATGCATTTCAGCTTCTTGCCTGACTGTCTCTCCACCATAACATGGAACTCTTTGAATTTCTCCAGAACTTGGTCTTTTGTCTTCAAAGCATAGACCCAAAGCTTCCTGGAACAATCATCAATAAAGGTAACAAAATAAAGTGCACCACTAAATGACTCTACCTTCAATGGGCCACAAACATCAGAATGCACCAATTCAAGCAACTCTGACTTCCTTGAGGGAGGATGCTTCTTGAAGGATACTCTAGTATGCTTACCAGCCATGCAATGAGAACATTTCTCCAACTCTTCACTCTTCAATCCCGGAAGCACATCCTTTTTAGCTAAATAATTCAACCCCTTTTCACTGATATGACTAAGCATGCGGTGCCACAAAGAAGCCTCCATATCCATGACATTCACACTGTCTTTAGCAATCAATGCTTTAGTCCAATACAGTTTATTATCTTTCTCCCCTCTAGCCACAACCAAGTTACCTCTGGTGAGTTTCCATTTTCCAGAACCAAAGTGATTATCATAACCACCTTCATCAAGCATATGCACAGAAATCAAATTGAAGCGAACATCTGGAGCATGTTTGACTCCTCTCAGCAACAACTACACTCCCATGTTGGTCTGCAAACAAATATCACCAATACCAACTACCTTGGATACACCATCATTACCCATCTTCAACACTCCAAAGTTACCAGCAGTGTAAGATGTGAAGAACTCCTTCCTTGGTGTAACATGCAGTGTAGCAGCACTATCAACATCCCACATGCTCTCATCTGATACAAGATTAACTAAATCATGGTCACGGAGAATAATCAGATCATCACAAGTAGCAGTAGTAACACGGTCATCATCATCATGATTCTTATCTCTCTGCTTACTATTATTATTTCTGTTCTCCCTTTTCCATATGAAACAGTTTTTCTGTATGTGCCCCATTTTGTGACAATGATTGCACTCAACATTCTTGTATTTGGACTTGGACTTACTTCTATTGTTGTCTCTACTCGCACTCCTTCTATTCTTTCGGTTCCCTTTCGGTTCCTTTTTCTGACTCCTGTCTTTGTTCACAGTGACAAGTACCTCAGAATGAGATGAAGTACCATGTGCCTTCCTTCTCATCTCCTCATTCAGAACACTTCCCTTTACACTTTTCAAAAGAGACAACACCATCAGAAGCTGAGTTTGTAATTGAAACCCGAAAACTTTCCCAAGAATCTGGTAGAGTATTCAGTAGCCATAGTCCCAAAATTTCATCATCAAATTTGATACCCATACCTGACAATTGATCTAGGAGCCCTTGAAAATCATTCAAGTGATCAGAAATAGAAGTTCCCTCCTTGTACCTCAAATTCATCAAGGAATTCAACAAATACAACTTATTATTCCCTGATTTAGAAGCATACAAAGATTCAATCTTCTTCCACAAGGATTTGACATGTTCTTCATTAGCAATGTGATTATAAACATTGTCTTCTACAAATTGCCGAATAACCACAAACCTGCTGATGTTCAAAATTCCACTCTTCATCAGTTTTAGATTCCGGCTTCTCACTAGAAAACACAGGAAGATGCATATTTTTCACAAATAACAGATCCTTCATTTTTCCCTTCCACAAATGATAATTAGTGTAATTCAAAGAAATCATTCTATTTGTATTTGCCTCCATCATTCAAACAAGTCAAACAGCCCCTTAACCGAAGAGCTCTGATGCCACTCAGATGGGAAATTCAACAACAATTAACAGTAACAAATCTAATAGAGCAATACACAGCGGATATAATTTCCCCAACTTGTTGAATCTGTGAGGAGCAACAACAAATAATGCAGCAACTAAAAAATCAACAACACAAAGAGACACCAAGATTTTTAACGTGGAAAAAACCTTCTCAAAGTGAGAAGTAAAACAACCACGGGCACAAGCCAGTAAACAAGCTCCACTATGATCAATGTATGGGTACAAGAAAGTCTTAAATGTAGCACAAATCGTGCTCAACAATCAGCCAAAACAACAAGGCAACAAAACATGAAATAGAGAACAAAGAAGAACCAGAAAACTCCAAAGGGATGCTACTGTGCGTGGCCAATATCTCCCACCGCAGACTTCTGATCGCCGATCACACCGTTCAGATTGAAGAACCGGATGTCAGGAACCTGCAGTTCAAATTTCGGCCAAATCGGACGGTGAACGAAGGAGATATCGTGATTCTAGTGCAGCTGCTATGTGTATGTGCGAAAATCTGTTTCTCTTCTCTTCTCTCACTTTTCTCTTGCCTCTCTTGCCTAAATCAGACCTCTCACTCTTACCCTAATTGACTCCTCTCCACTTAGATAAGTGAGACACATGGGCTTGCACATATTGGGCCTTTCTCCATATAGGATGGGAGCCCAAAACCCAATAAATGTTGGTGTTAACTTTCAATTTAACAATATTAATTTATTTTTTTCAATTAGCTAGAATTTGCGGACACAAAATTCACTCTTTAAAATGAATAAATGTCTTGTAGCGCATTATTATATTTTGACAAATTTTGACAAATACTTTGGACAACCAGTATTCCACTATCTTGTTGATCTCTTCTTCCTGCAGTATAAATACTCATGCATGGTTAGTGATCTTTAAGTAATTTATGTCCAAATTAACAAGATACACTCAAGTACAAACATTTGATTAATTTAAATCAAGAATCAATAAACATGTCGTGGTGGAGCGGTTTCTTTGAGCTAAGGCCTTTGTTTCACTTGCTACTTCCACTTGGCATCCATTGAATTACTGAGGAAATGACAGTTTCTGTTCTTGTTGATGTCACAACCACTGCTTTGTGTCCTCAACAATCAACTTGCTCCAAAGTCATTTACATCAATGGCCTTCAAAAAACGGTATGTTCATACCCGTCTTTGAGGGCGTGCAAGAGCGGGCTAAAGACCTGCAAGACGGATTACTGAAAGACTCAGAATTTATCACGGCTAAACCGTAGATAAATAAGGCCTCATAAAATATTTGTCATTATAATTGTTTTGTCATGGTTGATTGTAGCTAACTTCAGACGGCTCTGAATAGATATGTATTATAACATCAACCAACCAACCAACATTAGTAATCTTTAATGTATTTTCTTTCTTTCTAGATTGTTGGAATTTTCAAGATGGTGGTTCTTCCACTTCTAGGCCAGCTTTCAGACGAACACGGTCGCAAACCTTTACTCCTTGTTACCATGTCCACAACTATAATTCCTTTTGGTAATTACAATTGTGCTTAATCTAATATCTTGGTGATGTTAAGTAATTGAATTATCCTTAACATTGTTGATTCTTGTAGCTTTACTTGCTTGGAACCAATCCGAGGAATTTGTATACGCCTACTATGTGACTCAAACATTTTCATACATAATCAGTCAAGGGAGTATTTTCTGCATTTCTGTCGCGTATGTCGCAGATGTTGTCAATGAAAACAAAAGAGCAGCAGTATTTAGTTGGATCACTGGTCTATTTTCTGCTTCACATGTTCTCGGGAACATCTTGGCTCGATTTCTTCCTCAAAACTACATATTTTTGGTACTAATCTTTGTTCACTCAGTTTGGTCTTGATGTTTGATTATGAGTCTTAATCCTGGTTTATTAATTTCAGGTTTCAATAGCGCTATTGACCTTTTGTCCAATTTACATGCAAATTTTCCTAGATGAAACTGTGAAAATGAATCCAAAAAAGAACCAAGAGTTAGGCTTATGCAAAAAAGTCGTTAGCGTTGTTATCCGAAGATACAAATCTATGAAAACTGCCACGCAAATAGTAATCTTCAGGTTGTTTATCTGATTTTTCGCAACAATACATGAACATAGATGTGATTATATGCTCGCTTAATTTTTTATAATTTTCAGTCCAACATTAAGAGGCATGGCTCTTGTTTCTTTCTTTTACGAGTTGGGAATGTCTGCCATAAGCAGTGTTTTGCTGGTATGTTTTCAACTTTTTGCTTATACTTAAATGAAAAATCTCTTTTAATTAACTCATAACTTGACAGTCAAGTAATCAATTCCTATGCAGTACTATTTGAAAGTTGTTTTCGGTTTTAACAAAAATCAGTTCTCAGAACTTCTGATGATGGTCGGAATCGGGTCAATCTTTTCTCAGGTATAATACTAATGATTATAAGATATTTGGCTTATTTTAAGTACTTACTGCAAACTGAATTCCAGATTGTGTTGCTTCCAATACTTAACCCTTTGGCTGGAGAGAAAGTGATTCTATGTTCTGCCTTACTTGCATCAATAGCATATGTAAGTTTATCTTTCTTATCTTTTCATCTTAATTACATGCTTCCTATACGAAATTTTACTTTCTCTGACAGACACCTTTGAGAAAAGTGTATATATGTCCGTGTCTGTGTTCAAAACTTACATGTGTGATTTGGTTTCTGGTCAGTGTCTTGTGTCCAAAACTTACACTTGTGATTCCATTTCCGGTCAGTGTCTATGTCCAAAACTTACACTTGTGATTCTGTTTCCGGTCAGTGTCTGTGTCTAAAACTTACACTTGTGATTCGGTTTCCAGTAGTTGATGCTTTATAGTTTATTTTCAATGTTTATGACTTATGTTTGTTCAATGTCCTTATACTTATGCAGGTACCATACTTAAGTGCCTCATTTGGCATAATCTATGTCCTAGTGAAACCTTCTGTGAGTCATAGATTAATTTTTCTTTTTCTCATAAGTGATTATGATCCACTTTTATAGTTATGATCAAATCATTAATTTCTTGTGATGTAGACATATGCTATTATTTCAAAAGCATCAAGTTCAAGCAATCAGGGAAAAGCACAAACTTTTATTGCTGGTGCACAATCTATATCTGATTTACTATCACCAATTGCTATGAGTCCTTTGACTTGTGAGTGGAATATTATAAAGATAAAGATAGTTTTTCTTTTTTCTTGCAATTGCGAATGCTTAATGATTGTTGTTTCATTTATTTCAGCACTGTTTTTATCTAGCAATGCTCCATTTGAATGCAAAGGTTTTAGCATTATATGTGCATCTATATGCATGGTAAGATATCTAATTTCTGGTTTCACATGAATATCTAGTTGTTTTCTTTTTTGTCTTCTATATTAACTTTGAAATGTTTTCAATTTTTTCAGATAATTTCTTTGATTTTTGCTTGCATGTTAAATCCTAATCCTCATTCAAGTAATGACCTGTAAGAAAACTCAGAAGACCCTCTTCTAAATTACAACTGATTAGAGATGTAATTAAGGCATCATTTGCCTCAAATTTCTGTTGGACATTGCCACACATAGATTTGGTATTATATTGAAGATTAAATTTGTTTGTTTTTTAAGGAAAATATTACTTGTTTGTATCCTTACCCCATTCTCAACATGAACCATGCCTTGACTAGAGGACAAAAAAATATTGATAATTATGTAAAGTTGAAATTGATTTGTGATTTGTGATAGAGTAAATAATTTCTTTATTTTTTATTTTCTTTTTAATTTCTTTTTCATGAAGTTCTCCATTTCTCTATAACTATTTTGGATAGCCATTTTGAGTTTGTAAGATAAAAGATCCATACACCTAATGCCTTAAGGTTTTAGGTGAATATGTGGTGTCAAAGTCTTTTGGATCTCGAATATTTAATTCATTGACACTTAAGACACTTCCCTCTCTAGACTCTCTCCAACACAAAAATACACTACTACAAATAATACATTTCATGAGAAAACTTTCACCTCAACAAAAAAAAAGTATAATAGTAAGATGCGCCATATTTTATTTTAAAAAATTAAAACAACATATTCCCTCAAATTTTAATAACACCGAGGAGAAAGATAATTCAAGACATGCTTCGAATCTCAACTATTGCAATTTATGTTTTTATTTCGTTATAAGTGTAAACTAAATGATCTATCCTTTCGATTTCCTTAATAACCGAAAGATAAAATAATCAGATATTATTATAAAACCACTCGTTAAACAGATTTTACGCTAAACCTAACTTATATGTAGCCGTCCCAAACTCGTATGCATCTTGTGGATGGATTCCAAGACAGAAAAAATCTTCAATGTTATTCAATCCTGAACAAAACATTTTTTCAACTCTTGCAATCTATCTCACATAATGTTGATGTTTTTGTGGTTGTATTTTTGAAATAACTTTCATATGATGTCAATAAGAGAAAACAACACTACTTTCCTTGACTGACAACATTGAAAAATTTATTCTTAAACATACTGTAAATTGCACACAAAAAATGTCGACTGATAAAAAATTAAAATGGAAATATGACGTTACTTTCAATTTCTTTTTCATTTACCATTTTTTCTTGGAACTTATTACCTCAGTTTTTTTTTCTTCTAAAATTGAGGAGTTCACTAATTTTATTTTATTTTTCTATTTAAAAATAAAATACGTTTCTCCTCATTTTTTTAAAAACCGAGGAAATATATTACACAACTTCATCAACGAATCTATGCCCTATATTCTTAAAGGAACAACGTTCAAGATATTGTAATGACATCAATCCACAACAAACTATTTATATTCACCACTATATATATTTCTTTTTAAAAAAAACATTTGCCATGAAATATTCTTCTCTATCTTTACTCAACTGCAATTTTCACAGTGGATTAAAGAATCAAAAGTAAAAAAAAAAATTTAAAAAAACATTTTTCTTAATTTTATGGTTTCAAATTGTATAATAATTGATTCCTTAGCTTACAAAATAACAACCATATTTGAAAACAAAAATTCAGAAGATCCAAGAACACCTTCTATTTATTTTCAATTTTCATCTTCATCAACTTATCTCACAAAAATAATTCTAATTGATGAAGAACAATAATGTTTCTTGAAATCTTTAATCTTTGATAACCCGTAAAACTTTAATTTTTAAGCTTTAACCCATAACAACTTCATTTGAGATGAAGAACATGAAAAGGAGGGAAACAAATAGGGAAAGGGATAAGGGTAACATGAAAATGGACGGGTCTGCAAAATGAAGGTGAATGTTTGTTAAAGTTTGGAATGACTTCAAGAACAAATTTGAGATTTTGCTTTTTCTTATTTTGTTCTCAAGACCAGGTCTAGATTTTTATTTTATTTTTATTGAGTTCTCAACAACACATATTGTTGAGTAATTAATGTAGTAGTTTTTTCAATTCTTTGCATCTTTTATATGGAAAAGTTTTCAAGTTTTAGGATTTGGTTGGCCTCGTACCAACTATTTCATCTTCTTCTCAGTTTTCTTATTCATTGAAATTCTCTTACCACCTCTTTCATTTTCTTTTGTTAATTATATTTGTTTATCAATTGTTTGTTATGTTGATGTTGGTTAATGTCACTCATTGTTATCTCTCATCGTTTAACATAAAGGGTGTTAAGAAATATTTGAATATTTTTTAAATACTCATTGAATATTCTTTGAGAAAATTAATTTTAGAGAAAATTTGATAATTTGATTCTCTTGCATTCTATGTTTGGAAATGGAACAACTTAATTTTTGTAATAAAATTGAACTTTACGTGTGTTTTTCTATTTGAGTATGTTTTACATACATTATCAATTCAAAAAACAATTGGGGAAGAAGATGAACCTTTCTAATCAAAATTGGAGAAGAAGATGAAGATTCTTAGTCAAAACTCAGAAGAAAAAAATTAGTGACGGCTTTTTGTATTGTTAAATCAATCACAAAATTTGACTAATCCACATGACATTCACGTCATTACCACATGATCTTATCGGCTGACTTTGACTAACAGAATAGACGGAAAGGACTAACATGATACATTTTGAAAAATTAAGAAATCAAAATGTTAATTTTTAAAAATTAAGAAACTAAAATGATTTCTAAAATAAAATTAAAAGACGAAAAATAATATTTTACTATAATTTTTTTTTGTTGATAGTCTCCAAACACACCTACACTGACCGTAATGCCAAAACTATCATGAATTACTTTATGCCTTTATCTAAGTTTGACTGTAATGCCAAAACTATCATGAATTACTTTATGCCTTTATCTAAGTTGCATTTTATCCAAGATATTATAGAAAGACACTACAAGATTTCTTTGATTTTAGAAGTAATAGGAGGATGACTCATCACATCAAAAACTTTAAGAATTGCATATTCTACCGTGTTAGGAGTATAGCAAAAATACTTGTATAATTTTCACTAAGGGAGACGTTAGATATAAAAGAATATATAACAGATTTTTAATCTATTTTCTTACCTTGAAATCTAAAATTTATCCTACAAAACCAAACAATGTTAATATATTAATAATGATACTCTTTATAACAAACTTACAATGACTATACTAAAATTTGTCGCAAGAGTTGATGACATGTTGCACATAAGTAGTGTAAATAGAGATACATGTTAACAATAAAGATAATAAGCAGACAAAACAGAAAAAAAATCAGAGTTTCAATAATGTGAATAACACCACTTATGAGAATAAGGGTTGCAAAGAAAATATATATAATAAATTATAAATAAATAAAACTATCTTCAACCCAATTACAACAAAAGGCTCATTATATATTATGTAAGATCACCCCTCAAATTCACAATACATTAATATGAGGTATTAATAGTTTAACAAAAAAATACTCAATAATAAACAATAAATATATATCTAAAACTCTAACATTCCCCTTTAATTTTGCAAATTAACCCTTAAAATGGAGATCAAACAAAATAAACTAATATCATAACCAACAAAGAGAGAAACCAATAAAAAGAACCATCATAGAGAGGAGCAACAATTAAAGAAGAAGATAGAAAACAATATTGAGAGACAAAGCAATACAAATCTAAAACTCTAACATTATCCTTCAAGATAAGTTTTTTTTTCTTCACAAATTAACCTTGAAAAATAGAGATCAAACAAAACAAACTAATATCATAACCAACAAAGAGAGAAACCAATAAGAAGAACCATGTGAGCAACAATTAAAGATGAAAAGAGAAAACTTCAGTAAGAGATAAAACATTTAGTGAGAGAGAGAGATCAAACTAAATCAAGCAAAAAAAAGAAGAATCTAAAGATGAATAATCAAATAGAAGAAACCATATAGAGAAACAACCAAAGAGAAGAACCAATAGAGAGAAATAACCAAACAGAAAAACCAATAAGGAGAAGAGTAACCAAACATAAGAGTCAATTGGGAGAAAAGAAACCAAACAAAAGAAATAATGGAGGGAAAAGTAACCAAATAGAAGAACCAACTGAAAGAAAAACCTATGGATATACAAATTCGAAATTATGGCAAGTGAGTTCAAATACGTATAATTGGAACTACATATTTTTCAGCTCGAAAACAAAATTAATGCAAACACTGAAAGATGAAATGAGTGAACTTTATCTTAAATTGTTGTTTCTTTGACTTTCTTTGATGTGATAAAATGTAAGAGTGTTGGTTTGGAATTGAAAAGTTAGTTGAAATAATATTTTTTTAAAGGTTTTTAGTTATGAAGGAACTTTGAAGTGTGAGAGAGATGATCATGCAAGATGATAAATCATCTAAATGAAACTGTTGAGAAATGGCTTCAAGAATATGTTCAGAGTTGTATCTCTGAATTAACCTTAAAAAATTTACAGTTACATCTCTGAACTAAATTTTGACAAAAACTGAGATTTGATGCGTTCGAAAACGTATCTCCGAATAAATCTAAAGATATTTTACGATTTCCAAAGATGCGTCCCACTATATAAGGACGTGAAAAGAAAATTTCCAAAATTACCCTTAATATATGGGCTATTCAAAATAAATAATTTTTAAATGTAACAAAATTATAAATACATTTTCAATGTGTTTTTGTTTGTAATTTTATAAATTAAACAAATTAATAAAAAATATATTTAAAGACCAAAATAAATAACAAAAGCATACATTAATATAAATTAAAGAAATAACCCAAAAAACATTGTTGCGGAGTAGCTTGAAAAAAAGGGAGATATTTCTCCAACAGGATAACTGTTGGATGTTCTGTGTTTGAATATCTATTGATAGAATGAATCACAGACACTGAAACAAAACCACAATAATGTCATATACAAACATGGAAGTTCTTTCTCTCTCTGTCACACTCACCAAATCTCAAACATTTCCCTCTCTCAAACAACCACTTCACCAACTTCCAATAACCACAACACTACCCAACAAAACCAATCTTTCTTCTTCATCTTCTTCT